GGATCAAACTAATGGACAGATTAAACAAATGAAAAACAATCTAACTAATGAGACCATCACCAGAAGCCAAGACAATATGTTACAGACTTTTGGAAAACAAATGTAAGACTTTTTAAAACCTTCTAAGGGCTTTTCTGAGGGAACAGCATTGAACATTTCTGAAGACTTTTCAGACCCCTTGTGGGAGTCACACCGACCATCTGAGCTCGGCCTCAGCCGGCCCGTCCAGGTGAGCTTTAATAACCCCTAATAACCTGTAATTACCTGATATTAACTCAATAAAAAGCAGAAACCTGCAGCTGTGAGTTGACAGAGTGGGAGAAAGAGGCAGACAGTGACTGGGAGACCCCTCCTCCTCTTTTCTAATATTTCCCAGAAGTCCCAGCGGCGGTGGCAGATAATCCCTGAGAGATGAGGAGAGGGAGCCAGGGATCGGTGAGCGGCGGAGGAGTATCCTCCAGTGTGGAGTGCTCTCTCTCTTCTTCTTCTCCTCTGAGGATTACAGCGGCATTTGAAACATATTTCAGCGCGGCAGGGTGGCGAGCAGGGTTGGGATTAAGGTGTTACCATGGAGGGGTGGTGTTAAAGCAGAGAGGCGGGGTGTTAAAAGATGGAGGAGCAGTGATACAGCGGGGGTTACAGACGGTCGGCTGGCTGATACTGCACTGATAGGAATACGGCGGCAGGTTAATGGGGGCGTAGGTGTGAGGCTGATGGGGGCGGAGCCAGGAACAGTAAAGGTGGAGGTGTTTAATACGGCATCACATACTGCATCATCACCACAAGTACTGTGTCACGTACTGCAACATCAGCACAAGTACTGTCACATACTGCATCATCACCACAAGTACTGTGTCAAGTACTACTTCATCACCACAAGTACTGTCACGTACTGCAACATCACCACAAGCACTGTGTCATGTACTGTGTCATCACCACAAGTACTGTGTCATCACCACAAGTACTGTCACGTACTGCATCATCACCACAAGTACTGCGTCATGTACTGCATCATCACCACAAGTACTGCGTCATGTACTGCATCATCACCACAAGTACTGCGTCATGTACTGCATCATCACCACAAGCACTGTGTCATGTACTGCATCATCACCACAAGTACTGCGTCAAGTACTGCTTCATCACCACAAGTACTGTCACGTACTGCAACATCACCACAAGCACTGTGTCATGTACTGTGTCATCACCACAAGCACTGCATCATCACCACAAGTACTGCGTCAAGTACTGTGTCATCACCACAAGTACTGTCACGTACAGCATCATCACCACAAGCACTGCATCATCAACCCCAACTAGTACTGCGTCAAGTACTGCGTCATCATCACAAGTACTGCATCATCACCACAAGTACTGCGTCATGTACTGCATCATCACCACAAGTACTGCTTCATCACCACAAGTACTGCATCAAGTACTGCTTCATCACCAGAAGTACTGCATCTACTGCTTCATCACAGGTACTGTGTCACGTACTGCATTATCACCACAAGTACTGTGTCAAGTACTGCGTCATCACCACAAGTACTGCGTCACGTACTGCATCATCACCACAAGTACTGCGTCACGTACTGATTCATCATCACAAGTACTGCGTCATGTACTGCATCATCACCACAAGCACTGCGTCATGTACTGCATCATCACCACAAGTACTGCGTCACGTACTGCTTCATCACCACAAGCACTGCGTCAAGTACTGCTGCGTCATCACCACAAGCACTGCGTTATGTACTGCATCATCACCACAAGTACTGCGTCATGTACTGCATCATCACCACAAGTACTGCGTCATGTACTGCATCATCACCACAAGCACTGCGTCATGTACTGCATCATCACCACAAGTACTGCGTCACGTACTGCTTCATCACCACAAGTACTGCGTCAAGTACTGCTTCATCACCACAAGTACTGCGTCATGTACTGCATCATCACCACAAGTACTGCGTCATGTACTGCATCATCACCACAAGTACTGCATCCACGCTACAAGCACTACCTCATGTCCAAAGGTATTTTTACATGCAGGTCTTCATTTGTACAAGTACCACAAGTATTCCTACAAGGAGTTTCTTCTAGTACAATTAAAGATGTACTTCTAAAGTACCCCTTCATCTAGTACAGTTAAATGTGCACTTGTACTGCTTCATCTCCTCCCTCCTCCTTTGCACCCTGGCAACTGTTGCCATGGCGATCGGTGCTGCTGCAGGTCTGTTGCTGTGGTGACAGCAGATGTAAGTTGATCTGATCTCGTTATGTTTCTTCCTTCAGGAGAAGGTGGAGCTTCTGAGCCTGACACTCACCGCACAGCATTCTGGGAGCCAGCCCCTCTCTCCCTCATCTCGCCCGTCAATCGCCCCGCTCTCTCTCTATCTTCCTTCCATCAGGCCTCATCTTTCATTTGTACTTGCTCCTTCTCTCAGATCGCCCCCCTCCCCTGATCCTCCCATAGAGAGCGGGATATGAATCCAGATGAATTGTGGGTAATAAATCCGGCGCTCTGCAGGGTTTGTAATAAACTCTGCGAACTGAACTTCGATAATAATCAGCCTCAAGAGGAGAGATGGGAAGAGAAAAATCTGGATTTTCTTCTTCAGATTAAACTCCAAACTTTAAACTTTTTAATCAACCTCTGAGTCTTCTTCACTTATTGATTATTTACTGGGACTTTATCAAATGAAAGTCAGACTACAGAGAAAACCTTTGCCCCAAAAATCAGGTCTGACTGACAGAACACAACCAAATATGATGCAAAAAAATGTGAAAGAGCAAATACAGTTGTTTTTTTTTTTTACACGATATCAACATAAGATAAAACACTGCAAATTAATTTGTCCTGATAGATCTTTCTTGTTGTTTTCAAGAGTCAGGTAACAAAACCTTAACAAAACAAACAAGTGTGCAACTCTATCTACTGATGAAGGTCATGTGATATGCTCGAAAGCTCAACAACAGCGACCGCGTGGACCTGGTGCCTGTTCTGCATGTACAGTACAGTCAATAAGAAGGAAGGTCTGCCAAAAACTCAACCACAAATACAATGTTCTCCCCTACAGGTCTGATCAATTAAGCAACATCAAAACAGTATTTTAAACATATTTTTCATCCTTGTAGTATTTGTTTTTCTGTTTATATGACATTTGCTGTAATTTGAAGTATTTCCCACTTCTCTTTCTCATTTCCTGTCATCTGTATACCGTTACTCTCCACTTTAAAAGCATGAAACACCAAAAAAACAAACAAAAAACACTTGGCCAGGAAAAACAACAGCTACTTCTCCCTGTCAGGTTCACAAAGGCTACCTATCCCTTCAGGTGATGTCATCCAAGTAAAACCCTTCTTGAAGATGTGAGGACCAGACAATGACAATGTAGAAAAGTCTTCACAGCGCAGGAATGTCGTCGCGATGTAGAAATGTGCTCACAACAATGGCATTATAGTGTGTCCCCATAAACACAGACACACAGAGGTGTGTGCAGACAAACAGGTGTATAAACAGCAGGTGTTCAGCAAACATCAGCCTCCATGTCAGCTTTGTCAGGTTGACTGAATCTCAATGTCAATATTTGTCTCCACTACGCTTTGTTTTCCCATCATTCAAAATATTCATGTTCAGATTGAAATTGCAAATATTTGAGGTTTGGGCTGTCGGGGCCACCGTAACGCAGCAGCCAGGTTAAAGACGCGACTCAGAGACGGTGTTACCTGCAGACAGCAGGATTAGGTTCATAGGTTCATAGTGTCTTCAGATCCGAGGATCTGCAGACAAGAGCGTTCTCTGTGCTGAGGTCAGCTCAGATGAGACGGTACCAACACATGAATGACTGTACCAGACACTGCAGGCTTCTCATTTCTGACAAAGGTATAACAAGGTGACATTAAATAACCTCGAGTCTGTGATATTATTTCTTCTTAAAAGATTTTAAATGGGAAAAACTTGATTCCTTAAATTCGAGAACAATATACAGTGGGTACAGACCCTTTCACGTTATTCCACATTTTATGTTTGAGACTCATCTTAAAATGGATTCAGTTCTTTTTGCTCATCGATCTACACAGATGAACAAAGATAAAGTGAGAACAGTATTTTGTAAAAGTATTAAAAGACTGAAATGTCCCATTTACATCAATATTCAGACATATTCACTCAGCACTTGGCTGAAGCACCTTTGGTAGCAGCGACAGCCTCAAGTCTCCTTGACAATGACAAGCTCAGCATCTTTCTTCTGGAATTTCCTTCCATTCTTCTTGGTAGAATCGTCCCAGGTCAGCCAGGTTGGATGGGGGTCGTCGCTGCTCTGCCATGGTCAAGTCTATCCAGAGATGCTCTGTTGGGTTCAGGTGCAGACTCTGGCCGGGCCGCTCCAGGACATCCACACATGATGGAAGCTGCCGCGCTCTTGGGCACATTCAATGCAGCAGAGATTTTGTCGTATCCTTCCCCAGATCTGTGTCTTGTCACAGTCCTGTCTGGCAGGTCTGTGGACAGGTCTCTCCACCTTTGTTTCACTGACATGTGCCATCAACAACAAGGCCTTATACAGACAGGAGTGTGCCTTTCCCGATTATATCCTAGGCATTAAATTAGACACAGGTGGACTCTATCAAGCTGCAGAAGCATCTCAGTGACCACTGACAAGAGCAGGAAGCACCGGAGCTCAGCTGCACCAGTGTCATAACAAAGGGTCTGAATACTGATGTAAATGGGACGTTTCAGTTTGTTGCTTTAATCTATTTTCAAAACACTCCAAAAACCTGTTTCCACTTTATCGTTGTGGAGTATTGTGTGTGTCGACTATGACACTGACATGACCTCAGTATCTGACAACTCATGTTCGTGTAGTGAACAAACAAGGCGGTAAAGCTGTTTGTAATATTGATGATACACTTATTAACACTGGTGACATGATCATCTCCAGTCTGCGTCTGCTGATGAGTACAGCATGTCCCAGATGTAAAGAGTTAGGTGGACTCACCTTGGCCACAGATCCGTCTCTCTCCTCCATCACGGCCTTCATCTCCTGAGTAGTGATGTCACTTCGTCGTTGCCTTGCCACCCGAAAACGCTGAACCAAAAATGAACCAAACCGTTCAACTTCCTGGACAGAGTCAGCATCACAAACGCACTGAAGGAGCTCATCTATGTCCTGAAAATGGACACACAGGCATCGATAACATACGAGTTTCAACTATGAAACATCTAAACTATGAACTACAACAAAGTCTGGGTGTCGTGACCCTGTGAAGGTGTTTTACCATGTCAGATTCCTCCAGCTTCAGATTCTCCGTCCTGAAAACAGAGAGTTTCATTAGTAAGACGCTTGTGTTTACCAGCTACCTCCAATGCTAACTACCTTCAACCCCGACTGGAAACCACTTCACACCTGACAGTAAACCACAAATGTGCTAGGAGCCCTTCGGTCCCGCAGCGAGAGGGCTATGGCTCGGTCCTGCCACAGTGTCCTCAGGGTTTCTATGTCACACTTGGTCTCAATGGTTCATTTAAAATGGGAGCCAGGTCCTTGTAGTGCTTCCTGTATTTTAAGCCGAGTGTTTGGCAGATGAAATACAATGCATAAAAAAAATCAAACCTAAATTGTGAGCAGAGCTGAGGCATGAACAACACATTTCAGCGTTCGGCCACTAACACATCTGTGGTTTATTTTCTGACTATAGGTTCATCTACAGTTTGCTATGCTCAGCACACTGTATGAAAAAGACCTCTACATTTAGATTTCAGGTGTTTGATATTCTTAAATTTTCATCTGTAATCAGAGAACTTGACATGGGGTGCCCAGTTCATTTCATCTGACCCTGCTCAGATGCCCGGCCTCACGTCTTCCTGCCATTGACCAAATTAAACCTGGGCCTCTGTAGCAGCCTGTTAGATGACCTCAGTGCCACGCTGCTGCAGCTGTGCAGTAATTTTGTCCTGCGTTCCCTGAAGTCCACCTGAAACTCTCCAGCATTTTGAAATAACTTTGAAGCTGTGAGGGCGCCGTCCATGCGGCTCCTCTCTGACACAGCTGTGATGGTGGACCTGGAGCTGGTAACTAGCTGATCTCCTGCCTCTCCTCCTGGGAAGCTCTTTTCATTTAGCCTGCTGCTGTTTTGCTGTAATAAACTGTAATAAGGTGGCCGAGGCGGCTCTGCTCTGCAGGGAACAGCGGGGAATGAAAGAACAGACGCCTCCAATAAAGCTCCTCTAACACCCTGCTTACAGCCCATCCAGCCCGGCTCAGCTCGGCTCGGCTCGGCTCACTCCCCCCCCCACCCCCACCGCAGCCATTAGTGGGATAAATTGATCCGAGTAAGAAGAAAATCTTTATTCATCATTTTAGGAAAGTTTCAAACGTCAAACTGAATATGTAGAATCTGCAGCTGACAAACTTCACAATGAACGTACAGAGACATGAGGGACGTCCTCAGCTCGGATTCTTCGGACTTCAGTTACTTTTACAATTCAATAACTGCTGTAAACAACTTGTCACAAGAGTTAACAGATGAAGGCAGTCAAATCAGATTCTAGGTGCCAGCCTGGGGGTCAGGATCCCCCGACAGCAAAGAAGAAACAAAAACACTGTTCTGCTGCACAAACGTTCACTTGTGCTTTATATGAAGTAATGGACAACTGCTCCTCTCTGCGAACTAAAACATGAAACAATCTGAAAAGGCCAGAGCGGGAAAGAACACACCTCTGGTTGGCGAACACAAGCTGTGATGAGCAGTCACGGGTGAAAGGTTTCAAATCACTGCAGTAGACATTTTAAAGAGCAGAGGAAGAAAATCGTTAGGAAGTCACAAAAA